GATAAATTAATTAAAATTTGTAATGAAATTGAGTAACTAACTCAATTTGAAGAGAGAAACTTAATAAATTTAAAACGAAAACCTTCAGGACTAAATCTTGAAAATATAATAAAAGTTAGAACATTTAGCTACCAAATAAGAACAAAGAGAGAAAGAATTAATATTCTAAGAGATACCATTAATATACTTTTATCAACATGAATAATGAATAAATAAACCAAGTTAACATGTATTTACTCAACACATTAGGTGAAAACATAATTGGCATAAAAGATACAATTATCATCAACAAGATTCTAGAAATATAAACTATTAATGAAAATACTTTAAGAAGAATTAAAGAAATGGGAAAATCCCTTTCTCATGAGTTTGATTCTACTAAAGAAAGAATAAATGATGTCAAAAATCTAGAGATTTAAAAGAAATAAAAGAAGAAATAAGGTCTATAAAAAACTCAAAAACTCTGTTATCTCGAGTTAAAGAGATAGAAATCAAAATAGAAAAAATTCTTACGATATTAAAAGCAATCATTGAAAAATTTGTTATAAAAACTTAAGATGTATAATAGAATAATCTCACAATGGAAAGTGATATAGATAAGAATTTCTACAAGAGCCAAACTCAACTTATAAATCTATAAGATACTCTAATATCAGTATGTAATAGACGAAATATTTTAACTAATTAAAAATGAAGAATTTAAAATAATCTCAAAGATTTTTATAGAAAAACCTAAATCAAAGCGAATAACACTTTTTATACTAAAAACTCAAGAAAAATTGAAAGAATTAAAACAAAAATCAAAAAAAAAAAAAATGGAAAAAAAATAAAAAAATTGGGGAAAAAACTTAAAAAAAACAACAAAAAAACAAAAAAATATTAAGATGAATAAATTAAAATTTTAAAATTAAGAAAAATAACAAGGACTTACCATTGCTTTAAGCAAATCGCCAAATCGCAAAATATAGAGAGGAAGAAGTTGGGAGTAAAAATGGAAGATGAACAATGGGACTCTTGAAGAGAGTGAGATAAGAATGGAAGACTCCTATTGAAAAAAGTTAAAATAAAATAAAATAAAAATATATAATAATGAATTTTATGTTTATCCGCTCGACCTCTAATGAAAAGGCCAAAATATTTTTTGTTATTTTCTTTGATGGAAAAATAATTTTTGTTATTGTTTATTATTTTAATTTTTTAATAAGAGTTTAATGAATTCTCATAATTTTAGAATGTTTTTTAAATTTTATAATCAACTTACATATAAATCGTTAGGTTTAAGTTTGGTTTCAAGACAATAAAAGAGATTGAAATAACATGATACAATATCTTTCTATTTCTCTCTCATTCTCTTTATTAATTTAAATAAATTACAATAATTTAAAAAATTAAAAGCAAAAAGTTGTTTAAGTTAATGTTTTACTAGTGAAGAATTGTCAGAATTGTCTCATCTCTCTAAAAATCAAATCTATTTTCATCTAAAATTTTAATTATTTATCTTTTTAATTATAAAAAAATTATATAAGAGGTACCATCTCATCTTAGACATTATACGGAAATTAGATATTAAAAAAAATGTTGTGCAATTTATCAAATTGCATTCTAGTAATTATAGAATAAAGGTCAATGAATTAATATTGAGAATCTTCTTTTATTTTATTTTTTAGTTTGAATTGTATAATTTAAAAAAAGAAAAAAAAAACCTTCTCTTGTCCTTTAACTTATCTCCACCTATTTACTATATAATTTAAACTAATAACTTCTTACTTTAGTAAAAAAAATTAATCACTAAACAACTAACTCATTAACAACCTCTTCTAATTGAGTCATTCTTATTTTTATAATTTGATATAATCTATACAATAAAACGAGGAACACATAAAATATTTTAGATTAGGGAATTTTTGTTGGCTTTACTTCGCTGCTAAGTGTCACAGTGGGTACCTCGTGCATGACAATGGAGGGAACGTTGGGTTTGTCTAGTAACAAAGACACTCGTGGCATGATGGTAAAACATCAAATCCGCCCTATGGTGGCATTGCTCTCGTGGTTTGTTTTCAACAAGGATTTAAGGTGAGTTTGGCTCGACGAGCGAATTGTCTCCACATCAGTTTTAAAGTGTTTTTTTTTTTTTTTCCCAACCATTTTTAAAGTTTCAACTTAAATGTCAAAGAGAATGTTGGACTACATTATTAATTATTGATAGATGAGTGAGACTTCAATATTAAAGGTTATATTTTAGTATTTTAAATTTTAAAATTAAATAATTTTCATTTATAAAAAAATTCAAAATTAAATTGTTTAAGTTTTGGGTTTAAGAAAAATCAAGATGTTATGTCAATTAAAATGTCAAAAATAATAACAAAAGAATTTAAAAATATTTAATTAATAAAAATTTAAAAAATATTTATTAAATGTATTTAAATAATTTCATAAAAATTTTAATATTTTAAATGTGAGAATAATAGATAAATAATGAGAGAGTCACTTAGTAAAAAGAAGGTTTAATTATGCTCATTCTTAATATTAAATGAAATGTAATGATATAAATATTCATATAAACGTAACATTTAGTTAGATGCACTTGAATGACTCTCCATACAGATAATAGATATAATTCTCTTTTTTAATTAAAAAAGTGTTGTGAAATAAAAGCAGCTATTAATTATACATTTTATTGTAAATAGATAATAGTGATTTTCTAACTATTACTTCTTCAATATGGGTGTTACTTGTAGCAATAATTTTCTTATAATAAAATGTAATTTACTCCTTTGTTACTCTTCCATGCCTTCAACGGAAATTCTCTACATAGAAATGTGATTTATTCCTTCACATTTTCAACTGAAATTTGTTTATGGGACATTTAATTTTAATTTTATGAGTTACAATTTCTTCATGTAAAAATAAAATTATTTTATATGAAATAAGTAAAGAGTTATAAGCTTTCTCTCTGAATTTATAAATAGAAACATATCTCAAAACTTATATTCTAAATTTGATTTATAAAATAATACTTATTTATTATTAAATCAAACCATTGAGATATTACTTAATTTGCTGAGGATAATCGACCTTTGGTTATGAGTTGAAAGACCAAATTAGATGTCAAAATAAAACCCTATTTATGTTGGCCAATAAAAAAAATGGGACTCTATATGTGGGCTTCAGCTAATGTATAACTTTTTTTTTAACAAGTATAATTTGGGATAAGGGATGGAGAATTGTAGTATGGCAACGTCATAGTTCAAACTTTAATCATTATCAATGCATTATGTGCATCTGGCGAGCAACTCATAGAGCGTGGTGCTAGCTAATGTATAGCTAGGCTACAAGTTTGTGGGCTGATATGACTTTTCTTTTACCATTTTAGCATGTGAAGTTGAATGAGTGATTCGCATAATGGAGTTGATAAGTTTATTGAGTTTAGTTTAACTAATTTAGAATTAAGCTTCACTTGTTCTCAAAAGAAAAAAAAAAGTTTTACTAATTCAGAAGTTACTCGCAAACTCTTTTTATAAGTATATAATATACAATTGATTTAACTTTTTAAGATTATCAAATTACTCACAAAATTTTATTAAGTTTAAAATTAAGTTCATTAAGAAAACCAATTGAATTTAAATCTAGTAGCTAATAGAAGGACAAAAGATTTCATTTGAATTTTATATCCTAAAATAAGAAAGAGCTCTTCTTGACCTTACAGAAGGTTAGGTAAGAAGGTTATAATAAACACTTCAAGAACTAGAAATTGAAGAGTTCAGGGGTAGCAAAAAGATATATCTTTAAATGGTTTGCATAACAAAAGCTAATATTTTATGGTGAATTTCAGATCTTTTGTCAAGTGAGAAGCTATCATGGAGATAATGCAATACCTAGAATTTCCTTTCCACCAATTAGCACTTTTTCTACAATTAGTACACCTGTAAGTTATCCATTTTGTTACTCTAATTAAGCATCCAGAGAAGATCTTGTCGTGTACCTTATGAATGATTTGCAGGTTTTTAAAGGGTTTTATGTATAACAACGTTGTAAACAATCATTACACAACTTTTGGCCACACAGACTCGTGGCATATAATGTAGTTTAGTTTTCTAACTACTCAATTCAACAACTTGTATATGAACCGAATATGTTTATGTCTAGTGTGTAGATTCTCTAATGAGTTATGATCATGTGCACTATAATTGATGTGTGAATGATGGAAAATTAAGACGAGATATCTTAACTTTATTCTAAAAGAAAATAACACTATGATATTAACTATTGTTCTACAATTCTTACTTTTTACTTCTTATGCTTGGCTAGTATATTATTCATGGATCTGGACTAGTCAAAGAAGTAGGAGTCAAGAACTTCTATTTCAAACTTGGTGTGAAAAACCCCTATTTTCTAAGAATACCTAATATCAACTCTTTGAAATGCTATTCCATGCTTAAAGCTAATTGATTATTTATCTACCTTTTAAGTTTTCATAAATATATGTCATGGATATCCAACTCTTTTTTAGAAAGCCTTATTTAGACATTTTGTAGGTTATCAAATATATCTTCTAGTATAAAGGGCAGTTTTTGCATTCATATTTTACTATAAGTTATTATAAAGCAGCCTAAAGATGTGTTAAGAGACAATGAAATCAACTTCATTTTCTCACTAAAAAGAGACATAAGTATATTGCTCATCTCCTTTGGGTATAATCTACAACATTTTAACTAAATACGAATAAAACGGAGTTTTTAACATAGTGGAGGAAAAACTTAGGA